CGACCATAGTGGCCGTCTCCATCGTGCTCGGAAGATCCTCAGGAATTTCAGGCATGTGTTGCATTAGAGAGGAACTGTCGACCTCATCTTTGTGATTCTGCAAAATCATGGACTGCGCCAAACAGTATCTTTGAGCACTCCTTTCTTTCACCCCCCTGGAGGTACAGGGTATGAGCCACCAAGCCCTGTTGTTTGGCGCCCTGCAAGAGGTATCATGCTTGGGAGCTGGACGTGACTTGCATAGTCGACGGGTTCAGCCAAGCAACTGCGCCTCCGCTTGTGCTCCTGAACCGGCTCTTGATCAACAACTTCAACATAGATAGATTCTCCTTTGTGGACTGAGAGTAAGAGCTTGTCGCCCATCTCCCGTTCAAGGAAAGGTGTGAGTGCCTGATTGCAAACTGCAGGAAAGGATCGTTGAACCATCTCTGCAGGAAGAACTGCTTACTTACCCATCCTGGGGAGAAAATCACATGAATATGAGTTCCAATAGCTCTGGGGTTGACTCCATCATCAAACTCAACAACCACCAGGCGTGGTCTAAGAGCTGGTGAGGGCATTTCCACCAAGAAGACTTTCTCGAAGCGCGCCAAGAGCCAGCTTTTCTGGTAGAAGCGTGAGCCTCGATCACGTTCCAATTCCTGACCACTTGAAGAAGTGTTTAGCGCTCTTGTGCCCAACTCATCACCCATGCTTCGTGATGAAAGAGTTCAAGGGTAAAGGTATCGTATCTTGTAGCCGTCATAGCATTGCCAGACGATGGCAGCAAGACCAAAGCCTGTCCTTCACTCATATATGTCACCTCGAGCAAGAGGTGCTGCAGGTCCATGGCATAGGCCACATCTGCGTCAGCCATTCCTTGGTCAATCCTCTCACCCATATTCCTCCACATGGCGGAGTCGCAGTTTGTCCCCATGCTCCAATTGCAGAAGGTCCCAAGGCGGAACTTGAAGATTGTTGCAGTTGACTCGCAGGTCTGCCACTTCAATCGTCAAGTGCTCAGGCAGCAAGTGGAGGAGATCATTGACCTGGATCTCGGCAGGAAGGAGCACGGTTGTCAGGGTGGCTGCACACATCCATCTCAGCTGATAGACAACTTCAAAATGGACACAGGCCAACCCTGGTCGTCTTTCCATCTCATCAGCATTCAGAATTGCAAGTGGCAATAGTGGTGGCAGCATGGAGCCACGACGGACAAAGGGCAAGAAGTCCCAAAAGATCCCTCTCGGAGCCAGCCAAAGGGTTGTAACTGTTTGTGAGAGACTAACGGAACGGTCCCATCGAAGTGGACCAACAGCCTGCACAGGTGATGCCAGAAGAACTGGATGCAAAAGGAGAGAGTCAGGGCCTTCATAGATGTCGCCCTGAAACGCCATGTCATGCCCGACCAGGTACTCTTCCAGTCGATTCCTGTGCCTTTGTTCTCTGTCACCTGGTCCATTCCCTTCTCTGCTCTGGAAGGTATGGAACAGGCTCACACCGTCATCTTCTTGACTCATCCCATCAGAGTGGGGGACATGCATCCAAATCGGTCAAATTGTCAATCACTCCGTTACATGAAGTTGTCCTCAGCTGCAGGTCCAGCCTTTGCCAACCTCGCATACGGAATGGCTCACCGTGGATTTCCAAGGCACCCTCAAAAAAACAACCTGCAAGAGGGAGGAGCCCAGAAAGGATCTCGCAGACCAAGAAGCTCCAACATCTGCTGCCTTGGTGTGATGCTCTCGCTTTCGATTGCCTTCATGACCGGGGGGGGAGGTCGTCTCATCATACTCAATCACAACCAAACTTGGCAGCTGTGAGAGTAAATGTGGGTGATCAATGAGCAACAGATGAACGTCATCCGCGCCTCCCTGTTGGCTCGGTGTAGGCTGAAGGTCCACATAGCCCACAAAGGTCCTGTGGTCAGGCAAAATACTTTGAAAGCAGAGTCGTATGGCAAGCTTCAGGTCATCCTCATTCAATCGCTCAACCCACCTTAGAGCGGCTGATCAAGACCAGGCTTGCGCACCACAAAGGTCGGCGGAAAACCTCGAGGCCTCAGGAGCATGCTTGCTTCCCGTTCAATGGTTTCGAAATTCATGAACCCTGTAGTACTAACCATCAGAGCATCCCATCCAAGCACCGCTGGTGGAGGGTTAGCCGACTCGTAGTGTAACCAGGCTGGCAAGTCAAATCTTTGCTGGAAGAGTGAAGTCCACTCAACATCAGAATCCCTTAGGGACAGAGCATCTGACTGTTCGCCAGCATAAAGATGGGAAAACTTCTCACCCGAATTGTTGGTATTTTGCTGCAAAGAGAGAGAGCATAAAGCTGGTGCAAACATGCAGGCTCCCGCTCAATCTCATCACATTCTTCCATTGTCTCATTGTCCAAGAACCTTCGTCAGAGGGGCTCGACAAAGGCTGCGCAGTCGAGCCTTCTGACACGTCTTCCTCTCCTAAAAGGGAGGACTCGTCAGACGACCGTTGTTCTGGGAATCAATCTGCATAAAGATGTGTTGCTTGTTCGATCATGAGGGCATCACCAAATTCCGCATGAACTGGCGCAGTGACTTTGCACGGTTCTTCTGAACAGATGCATCCATGCGTGCCTCGGTCAAAAAGGTCTTCAACACGCACTCTTACCAACAGTCCGACCTCAGCTTCTTCCAGAATTCTCCCCTGCCAAGTCCGCCCATTTCGCCGGAAGCTCACAAAGAAACTGAACCTATATGTGTGTGTATCCTCTCAGACAATGAAGTGCCTCAAACTGCCAGGTGAGGGGGCAGGCACAATCTCCTGCCACGTGCTCCCCATAGGGAAAAGGTCACGTAACCAACTCCCTCCCAGCAGCCTGTCAGGGAATCGTCTCAAGGAAACACGCAAACTATTCAACTGCATCTGGTGTCTCCAAGGGAAAGTGTGCACCCAAATCATCACAAAGCCGCCTGCTCGATTCACATCAAAGAAGTCAGCTTCTGAGATGGGCGCCAAAGTCCCTCCCTCATATCGAAAAAGGAAGTCATGATCGACCAGAATTCCAGCCGTCTGCATGAATGTCACCTCGTCAAAGCCAAGGGGTGATCCCTGTGGGACAACCCAACTGTCAAGCTTTGTCGAAACTTTTTGTAAGGTATTCAGGGAGCACCCTCAACCCCAGACCAGAGGGTCAAATAGACCAGGAAACAAGAGGTGTTCTGTTTCTTTCTCACCGCTCTTGACTTCCTCTCACAACGTAGAGCACGTGGTCGATGGGCAGGCTTACCCGTCCAGGCCAGGGTGATGGACACACACCCAAATAGAAGCCCCAGCTCCAGGAGTAAAATAGTACATTGCTCAGCCAGCAATTGAAGACCAAAACAAACCAAGTCCACAAATGCATGTAGGCTGCCCAACCCAGAATGAGGCAAGGCATCTGGCATCTAGTTCGAAACATGACCCATGAGAAGTCAGCCCAAAAAGCATGGAACTTCAAAAAAAAGCGCCAACTCAAATGGTCTTGCAAGGCTTGGGGGAGTACAACCCTCCCCAAATACATAAAAACTGTCATAAAGGCCCTCCAGCTTCCTTCGCCTCCTCCTTGTTCTTCTTGCCTTCCCCCTTGACTTTCAGCTGCACTTGGCGGACTTGCTTGGGTGACCCAGGTTTGGCCGCCATCCCTGCAGAGTTCCTGCGCCGCGCAATAGCCTTGACATCTGGGAGCTCTTTCGGAATGGATCTGTCTGCATCCCCACCATCCTCTTCCATATCGTCTGGAATGTCGACTTCGATTGCATCCAAATCCGTCTCTTCCAAATTGAAGATCTCTGGATTGCCCAGCATCAATAAGGCTTCCTCTGGAGTTGGGACCGGGACACCGGAGTCCTCCGCCGAAATGTTGGTCCTGAGAGATTCCACGACCTGCTTCACCTCCTGCCTCACAAAAGCCAGATGATCTTGAGCGTCCTTGAGCTCTGCTTGCTTCTTGACACGAGCATCCTGATATGCCACAAACCTGTCCTGTTGGGACTTCTTGGCCTTTGTGACAAAAGTCCTCCACCCACTGTCCTCGTCCTGAAGGGCTTTCTTGCAGGCATCCACCTGCTTCTGTGCACGCCCCATTTTGGACAGGTGTCCATGGGTGAGCCTCGGACTCGATTCCTGCTGCTGTTCCAGTTGGTCGATCGCTCTGATCACACTGTTGGCGCCCATGCCAATATGTTGCTTCAAAGCGTCCAAATGCATCTGAATGCCAGTATTCGCGGCCGTCGCAGGGCCTCCGGCCCCCGCCGGCCCAGGAGGAGGAGGAACTGCAACCTGGGCGGGCGTAGTTGACCGCATGCGCCCCTTCGGAGTGGTGTTCGGCCAAGGTTCGCCTGAGGCCTCCTTGGCATTGGACTTGGTGGCTGGCGTGCACGGATCCTGCTCCTCTGGCCGCTGCCTGGACTTGGATCTCGTCTTCTCGCGCTTGCAGCTTGCAGCTCACCTGGCTGTAGTGGTAGCCACACCCTCCGCAGTATTCTGCTTTCGGGGCCTTCACGCGCAGACACCCACGCACCCACCTCGCTGGCATATTCAGAGCTATTTGCACCTTGGCTGTGAGAGAGCTTCCGTGGTGGAAAACAAGCCTCTTCGCTGCTTTCAGAACGGCCTTGTTCCGCTTCCCACCCGACCGGGCTAAGTTAAGCCCTCGCTCGAGAGCGGCCCCTCCGGAGCCTCCTGTGCCAACCTGGCTCTTTGCGAGCCACTAAGAAACAGCAGTAAAAAAGCAAATGCCCTTGTCGAGCGAACGCCACCGACCATGCGAAGCCGGAGCGTCCTAAGGCTACCTGTCCTAAACCTGACGGGAAGGGGACTTCCCGACAGGTCCCAGAGCCTTAATGTGTTTCAACAAATTATACAAAACGCTAGTAGGTTGGAGGCCATGGCTATATGCAATACTTCAACAAAAGCATTCCTCGTCAACAACTCATGGTGCTTGCCCATTCATATCGAGGCATGTTATGAATGCATTGGCCGAAAAGGTACAGTCAAGGTCGCTTGAGACTCGAAATACACTTGACAACCCTCTAAGGAACCTCGCGTCTGTTGCAAATCCTTCACCAAGGTTCCGCATGTCTCCTAAGCATCGAATTCTACTTCACAGAGACTGGGTCTACCCAAAGTCTCAAAAGGAACCATTAAGGTCGCTAACCATTGCTCTCCAACGCCCCCAACACCCCAAGACTGAGTGTAGATTGCATGTTTGAACTCTCGTCGTTTCTTTCCTGGACAAAAAATCAGCCTCCAGAAGTCGCTTTGCACCAGCTTGCTCTTGCAGCCTTCAAAACGA